GCACCATCTTGATACGCTGGAATGTCACAGCAACCTTCTACAGATTCTTCAGAAAGGGGCTCCTAACAACTCTTCTCTTTTTAAAGGAAAAAGGTGTATCCAAGCAGAGTAAAACCTAGTAAGATTTAATTCAACATCCAATTCTATGGAATCAGGTAGCATTGCTATAATGTTGCAAATAAAACTAACAAACCTGTTGTGGCATTTTAAAGATTAACAAGGTTGTTTTTTCTTTTTGATTCTGCAATGGGCCACAGGCCACAGGCCATTGCAGGTAGATTCCTTCTACCTTTAGCAGGCCAAAGATAATATTTGGCTATTGTCTGTTTTTGTTTTGGCAAAGATATTTTATTTGTGATGGAAGCAGCAGCTGAAAAATAAGGGAAATCAAAGCAAAAGGTATCTCCATCTAGACACCCCATAAAACAAATGGGTTCAATGACATAATACCATTCATGTTCTCCAATAAATTTTTGCCTAAATATCTGCCAGAGTCTCTCATTAGAGTGCATGCCTATTTTAATTTGAGGCTAGAAAATATTTTCTGAAAGTTACATAAAAGGACATAGTAAAAAAAACTATTTCTGCTTTATTGTAAGGCTACATTAACAGAATGTTGCAAATGTCAAGGTACAAAGATACAAACTTCCTGCCACTTTTACCTGCTTCACCCTTAAAGCCGATCTTTCCCGAGTTTCTTTATCTGACCGTTAAGCCACTAGGAGTTTCTGCCTCTCTTGTGTAATTGTTTCCTAGGTAATTGTTTTGTGGTGTAATTGTTTCTCTTCCCCTCATTTTCCAAGTCATCTACACACATATTTCATTACATACAAATGCAATTTGCCTTATGTAAATAGACACCATGAATGAGAAAATAAGACTTGGTAGCTCTTATTCTTAGCATCAGGGTTGGACAAATCATCGGGCTTCCCTTTACTATTTATTAGAAACAGCAACATTGATGTTTGCTAAACGTTGGTTATGCTGCATTACAGGTAGTCCTCAACTTATGATCCATTGCTTAGTGATGATTCAAAGTTATGACAGGCTTCTCCTACTATACTTATGAACTGGCTCCAAAGTTCCAACATCTACACACACACACACACACAGTCACATTGCTGCATATTGGGCAGTCAGCAACTGGTCCATATTCACAGGTCCTCATTTTATGCTGTATGGAACCTCATTTTTATGTTTTTGTCAAAAACTGGCATTTACAAGCAAACAATTGGTTCACTTGACAACTGTTTCACTTAACAACCACTGTCCAAAAACAGGTCATAAAATTGGGTCAGCCACATGGATAACTTTATGACTGTCACAACTTACAACTGTAATGGACAGGCACTATTACAGTCATAAGTGGAACATAAACAGACCTATCTGTATATCCTTGTTTATCTGAAGGACGAAAATGCATATGCTAGAATCTTCTGTTTCTTTTAGTGATGGAACTTACTTTAAACAATAGCTTTTGATCAACCCCATTTTTTACTACCAGAAGTTTGTTCTAGTATTTAACAGAATACAGAATCCAACAGAAACTTGTCTAGAAAACAGATGAAGGAACATGCAATATAGAAACACAACTCTTTACAACAGGGAAAGGGAACTATGGCCCTTTTATGACCTGTGGACCTGCCAACATGGCTCAGGGATTCTGGGAGTTAAAGTCCACAGGTCATAAAAGGGCCATAGTTCCCCACCTCTGCTTTATGTGAACAGTCCTAATTCAGCTGCATTTAATAATTTCTGTGATGACCCGGAGTGTGGCACAAAAGCAACAAAGTAGGTAAAGTCCCTTTAATACCTCCCACTTGGCCCCCAATGTCTTCGGCTGGAGAAAAAAACTCTCCCAAGAACAGTCTTTAAAGGGAATAAATTCAGTCCAGACCCAAAATACATTTAAATTATAAATAAAAACCAACACAAACCACGCTGCAGCAATTAATGAGACAGGGCAGGATAAGGAATTGCAGACTTCCAAAAGATAACAAAACACACAGTTGGGATGATGCCAGAACTCAGATATGCCTCGACAAAGATAAGGCACGCTTTGCTTCCAGCAACTTTGCTGTGCGTAGTTTGCCATTTTAAACAGTTTTCCAGGCTGCAGCTAATGAAGGAGATCAGGGCCCTTTCCTCCCCCATAAAACATGTAACTCATGTTGTTCCCTTCTCCGTTCCTCCCTATGTGCCCTAGGATGAAGAGGGGGTGGCCCTGGGTCTTCCTCTGAATGCCCATCCAGACTGTACCCTTCCCCAGTTTCTTCCACAGCCACCGGAGCCACACTCCCACTCCCTGTCAGCTGCTCGACTTCCCCCTCAGAATCAGATTCCAACAGGTGCATGACAATTTTCATTTTTGTCACACAAAATAATAATTCACCAGCAGCTTTCAGAGGGCTATTTGGGTTGCATATATAGATTCAGGAGGGCACATAAGGATGTGGTCTTTCTAGTTCTGTCCCAGGATACCCGAAAGACTTCTGATTTGATCCAGAATATAATTAACATCAAAAACAGTGGGGGAAAAGATTGTTCTATCCATCTAGCTTGGGAGTGTCAAATTTGCATTGTTACAGCATCGTCACATGGACGTATCACTTTTTTTTCCCTTCACTAAACCAGACATGGGTGTGGCCAGTGCATGATGCATCCATCCCGTGGGCCGTGAGCTCGACAGCCCTGATCTAGCTCATATCAAAAGGCCAACCCCCCGCCAAATAAATGAAAGTTAAAAATATTTACATGATAAAAATATTATACCATCTGATCAAAAATACTTAAATATTCTGCAATGCATCTTGATGCTCCTTACACAGTTTAAACAACTAATCTGATAATTTTATTGTTAATTTAATTTTATTGTTTATTGCAAATCAAAGAGGAGGATAAAGGAAACAAATTTTATTTATTACGCAAAAATAATTAGCGAATACAAAACAATAGATACACAGCACAGAATTAACAATATAGTGTAAAATACTGAAGGTGTACACCTTAAATGAACTCAAGTTTTTAGGAGGAAAAATAAAATGGAAGAACAAAGGAAGAGCAGCAAATGGAACAAAAAATGCAGCTGTGAAAGAAAATCCAACACATAATCTTTCCCAAGGATATGCAGATAAAACAAGCAAACGCCTAATCAAGAACTAGAGATAAAAAGTTTAATAGCCTGAATACAAGTATGCCTAATAGCAGAACATGATTTTTTTTAAAAAAAAATCCTTCTGCAAAAGGATGTCAGCAAAAACATGAAGAGGTAAAATAGTTTATAGCATGCTCCACATTATGAAATGATTTCTAAGTGCTGATGATGATTAAAAACAAAACAAAGACAGCTGGAAGGACACCTCATGAATACTGTACTTTTTTTCTTTCAAGCAATCTTGAAAGATTAAACATCTTTCTGCATTATTGAATTTTTATGGTGCAATCTGAGGGAAAGCATAATATAAGACCTTTTTCACCCCATTTAATTTCACTGAATTAGAAGGAACTAATTAGTTCATTCCCTTGCTTACTGCAGGATCTACTAGAGCAGGGGTGTCAAACTCACATCGTCACGGCAGTGGCCCATGATGTATCGTGACCTTTCTCCTCTTTCGCTAAACCAGGCATGGGTGTGGTTAGCGCATGATGCATCTGGCTCATGGGCTGCGAGCTTGACAGCCCTGTACTAGAGCATCTCTGACATATGACCATGTAACCAGGCCGATAGCAATAGTAACAGCACTTAGACATATATATCGCTTCATAGTGCTTTATAGCCGACTCTAAACGGTTTACAGAGTCAGCCTATTGTCCCAAACAATCTGGGCCCTCATTTTATCGACCTTAGAAAGATGGAAGGCTGAGTCAACCTCAAGCCCATCAGGATTGAACTCCTGGCAGTGAGCAGTGAGTTAGCCTGCAATACTGCATTCTACCGAATATATTTGTGTACATACATTATGATTTATATTGACTAGGGTATGTATAAAAGGAGTAGTTACTGCGTAATTTCTGGTAACTTGCCTACAGGTAAAGTAAGAGGGATCACAAATGGCTAAACAGATTTCGTTAATCCCTCTTAATTGGCTTTACGAATAAACTGCTTGTAGACAGATGGAACAGATTAGGCTTACAGAGTATCAGACTATTAACACAAAATCCTGGATTGGTACAGTGGCACAGAACTCCAAAGTTTCTGCATTTTATACACATGCCGAACTCCAGTCTAGGAAAGTAAAATTATTTTTTTATTATTATTAACTAGCTTATTTGTGAAGGCTGATATTATATCTATGCCCCTTCTACGGCCTAATATATACATATAAATAAGGGCTATGCAATGCCTTTGATTCAATTTCAAAAAAAGGCTTTAGAAGGTACAGGAGAGCATATGTTGGTTGCAACTTGATTGCAACTCTTTAAAGCAGCCATATTTTCCCATCTCTCACAGGGTATCCATCCGATCCTGAGAAAAGACATGAAAGTTTCGAAGAGCTTATAGCAGGGGTGGGATTCAACTTTTTTAACAACCGGTTCTATGGGCGTGGCTTAGTTGGTGGGCATGGCTAGGTGGTAATGTGACTGGCTGGGTGTGGCCAACTCAACATCACTCACATCGAGGCATGCATTTCCTCGCCTGGCCTCTCATGACTGTGGGGATGCTGCAACAGTCGTAAGTGTGAAAAATGGTCATAAGTCACTTTTTTCAGTGCCATTGTAACTTTGAATGGTCACTCCATACGAGCAAAGTACCAGCAAAGGAAGGAAAAAAACTCCAGAGAAGTTCCTGAGATAGGAAGTCTAGTCCTGTGAAGAATGTAATAAGGGTTAACGGAGAGGCAGTTTCTGTAAGCAACACCAGAATGTTTCCTTCCTGCCTTCCTTACAGGACTAGGCCAGTAATTTCTTCTAACAACCGGTTCTCCGAACTGCTTAGAATGTTAACAACCAGTTCTAGCGAATAGGTGCGAACTGGTAGAACCCCACTCCTGGCTTATAGGCAGGTGCTATATTCACAGACCTGCATATGGTTGAAACGTAATCAAAAGGGCTGCCCAATTCTAATAAATATATTCAGGAGTTTGACTTATGAAATATAGGTGGTGGGCATTCAATCCAAAAATGAAATAAAGAACAAAAGAAGACGACTCAGGAAAAGTATTTTGGTATCTAGTGCTGCCACTTAGATATTGAACTAATTCACAAAGGCCTTTCAAAATGGGCATCTGGATTTGTGACCCAGCAAAACACCCTGTCAGTAGCCGGTCAATAGCCAGGCGTAACAAGGAACCATGAGTGTTGGCAACATATTTTAGTACATAGTTGATTGCTTATGTGTGTACATATATGCGTGTTGTGTAAGAGATATAAACAAATAAATGAAAAATTGAGACAAAGAAGAAAGATATTTAAAGAAGCAACTTCCAATCTTCTTTGCATCAGATAATAGTACATATACAACAGAATAACAAAATTGGAAGGGACCTTGGAAGTTTTCTAGTCCAACCCTCTACTCAGGCAAGAGACCCTATACCATTTCAGACAAATGTTGTCCAATCTCTTCTTAAAAACCTCCAGCGATTGAGCACTCACAACTTCTGAAGGCAAGCCATTACTAGCATGATTATTCACTTTTTCCAGCCTCTGAAATTATATATTTTGGATCCTGTCTTCCTGTAAGCAACCCTTTTTAATCAGGGCTGCTGATTAATCCCCAAATCACCAACTTATTTTTGTTCAAAAAGGTTTCCATTCTTTTATTTTTTTAAAAAAAAGAACTATTGTTCCTTCATTAATTACACAAGTCAATGTAGCCATTTCAGTCAGTTCTGCTCTCCTCACATTCCACTCCACCGTTGTGGATATTTCTTCTAATACATTTACAGGAACCTACAGTAGAACAAATTTTAAAAAATACCCCCGGTCCCTATGTTTGTTTAAAACTTTTATAGTCCAAGCTTTTACTGTGCTTTTTGCTGCAAGTTAATTCCTGAAGATTTTTTTTTGTTCTTTTTCTGTTAAACACAGAAGGTCCAGTTAAAACTGCTAGAACTCCAGAGAATTCTTTAGTTTTTTAGATAGTTACCATCCGAAGTGCTTAAGAAAGTGGGACTTGGTATCCATTAAAGGCTCCATTGAGGCTGCAAGTCAGATCTTCCTTGGCTGGGGACATTTTACACATGAGTTGCCTGCAGAATCCTTTTGGGTGCTGCAGGCTTCCTCATAAGAAACTGCTACCTAGAGTACACATGGGCAATCTTTTTAGCTTTTTTTTACCTGGAGAAGTTGTGTAGGCCTTGCCAGCAGGCATAATTCCATCCTCAACATCCCTACCCTTTCAGAGAAGCATCAATCTACCATTTTTCTCACCTGGAAGTCTTTATATCTGATTGCATTTGTATTGATGAAACAGTTTAGTCCAATTATAAATCTTCAATATTGAGACCAATGCTCCAATATATTTTCTTGGATAAAAACTGGACAGATAGTCCTTCATTTAATTATCATCTGGGATCGGCAACTCTGTTGCTTACCAACACAATCTTTAAGCAAGCTCTCGGGTGATTGTGACTTGTAATTTGATTGTTGGCTTCTTCATTGACTTTGATTGTTGGAAGCTGGCTATGAAATATACAATTGGAGATCCTATAATCATGGGATGCTGTAATGGTTGCAAGTGCATGGACTGGTCATAAAGTTATTTTTTCAGCACCATCATAATTTTGAAGAATCATTAAACAGAGCAGTCATTAAGCGAGAACTACCTGATATAACCATGTGCGTGGTATCAATAAATGTAGGAAAGAGACTGGCAGAGCCAGGGGGAGGAGTTAAAATAGGCATCAGTTTAGAATCATTTTGTAGCCACAAGCGAACTAAGTCCAACCCACATCTGAATTCCATTAATATTTATCTAGTTCTGTCCAGGTGCTAACTCTTAATATCAGGAGATTCCTATATACAGGCTGCAGTAATAAATCAGTTCATTACTGTAAATCTGGTTTTGCACGCTTGACAATAAATAAAGCACATCCTGTGTCATTTCATCACACCTAAATGTTTTTATACTTTGCCTCCCTCAAATAACTCCCCCCCCCAAATCTCCCTTTCTTCTTTAAAATATGAACCCAACAAAAAGACTATGTCAGTATATAATATAGATAATCTTGTCATGGCTACATATGACTGAATTGCTTTGACATTAACTGCATTTATTAACCAAGCACAAACCTCAGGGAGAATTTAAAATTGCTCAGAGGGTTCTACAGTGCTATGTCTAAGCTTGGTAAAAAGCAAAATGCTAAAGAGTGTCCAGCTCCACATCCAATTAAAAGCAGCTCTGAAGAACTAAGAGGTTCCACAGGCTGAGGAAAACAAACATTTTCTTCTGTTTCATTGCCACACATGCCATGTTCGTTCCATCCCCAGGAAAAACACTGGTTACCTAAGAAAAAAGAAAAAAAAATAATCAGCATATTAAAGCAGCCAGTGAAAAATCGTAACATCCAAAATCCTAATGAATCATACTTGGCCAAGCTCATTAACCATGCCATCCTTAAAAAATGAAGAAAAAGAAGGTATACAGGTAGTCCTTCACTTACAACCATTCATTTAGTGACCATTTGAGGTTACATCATTACTGAAAAAAGTGACATGGCTGTTTTTGTCATTTATGACTGTTGGTCACATGATCAAAATTCAAATGCTTGGCAACTGGTTCCTATTTATGACAGTTGCATTGTCCTGAGATCACATGATCACCTTTTGTGCCCTTTTGACAAGCAAAGTCAATTAGGAAGACAGATTCATTTAACAACCCTGTTACTAACAACAACTGTCATGATTCACTCAACAACTGTGGCAAGAAAGGTCTTAAAATGGGGCAAAAGTCAATCACTGTCTCGCTTAGCCACAGAAAGTTTGTGCTCAATTGTGGTCATAAGTCAAGGACTACCTATGCTAATTTACAGGCTTTCACATGGATTAAACATTACGATTGCAGGGACTGCAAACTGAAATGATTATTACATTGTAGATCATTCATAATAGTTCAGTTAAACAAAGAATAATGTGTGGTGGAAACTTTTTAATTGCAATCCAATTTTGCTCATATAACATTTCACAATTTTCCATGATATCTTCACTATCCTTTGTCTGATCAAGAACCAAGATTGATTGTTAGTGGTATTTAGAGATAGAAATTCTGTATGAAATTCTTAGACACTTAAAATAATCTGATGCCAAAGGGAACTCTTTGTCTGAACTCTTGTGAGAAAATTATTTCAGCCACTGTATTTTTGGCACTTACCACCAAAGAAAAATACTTACAAATGAAATGATTCTTTAAAAAAAACTTTCATTAAAGTATCTACATGACATTTAGTATTGAATAGATTTCTCCAGGGAAGAAAATTCAGCTGAACAACAAAAACCAAACAAATTTCTAACAGCATCTTGGGGAGTACTTCAACCACCAGGGAAGCAATATGTTTTCTAATTGCAAGAAGCAGTTTTGTTTAAATCAGCTGTCTTTGTGAAAAAGGAGCTCTTTGTAGCAGTGTTTCTCAACCACATCAACTTTTAAGATGTGTGGACTTCACCTCCCAGAATTCCCCAGGCAACATGTAAGCTAAGGAATTCTGGGAGTTGGAGTCCACACATGTTAAAGTTGAGAAACTTTATTTTGTAGAGTTTATGAGGAGCTCCATTCTGAAAACAATATAGAGCAGACTGCAATTTCCCAGTATTCTACAAAAGATTTGTTGGATTTTGACAGTAAAAATGTTAAGTCACATGTGGCAAGAAAATCTCTAATGAGGCTTAGGGATATATACAGTACTTTTGGCCAACCAGATTCATTGTCAGTCTTGCCAAAAACATCAATATATAAAACCTAAGGGGAAAAATAATAAAAGACACTTGTGGAAAGAATCCCCTTGATTCCTACTTTATTTTCTAGAATTGTTATGGCTCTAGCTGTTTTTTTTTTCCAAACTCAGCAAGAAGAAATCAGTATATGCTTGTGATTTCAGACTCCAATACTAAAAGCAACAGTCACAACAAAAAGAGATTGCTGACGAATTGCTCAAGTGCACAATAATGAGGAAGTCCCTGATGAAATTCTCACAGTTCAAACCACAATCCATCCAGTTGGTTAAAGCATTTGTACATTCACTTGGATTCAGGTCTTCAAAGTTGAATGGGATAAAGCCAAAAGCATTCTCATCATGAAGGATGGACCAGTGAAATTCCAAATCCAAAGACCTAGTGGACTATATTGTCACATAAAGGAGAAAATGGCGTAACCTCGGTGACATGGCATAGGAGAATTTTAAACCCATGCAAGACACCAAGGAATGCCATTATATTAAAGTTGCAATGAAATCTCTAGAAGTGTTGCTTTTGTTGATATTCAGGAATGTAAACTGTGAACTAAGTGGTAAGGGCCATTTACTCTAATCCGGAGAATTGGATCTTTTAACTACAAAATAGACTTAGGGATGAAAGAACTAAGTCTACCTTACAAACTACTTGAGAAGATGAGGTGAGAGAAAAGAGTTCCACACACAAAGAGCTAATGGTGTTCTGCAGGAAAGTCAACATCATCTTTCTCTACCAGTTTTCACCTCCAGTTGAGCAGATCTGGCATAGGTTGGTTTCTTACTTTTGCTTTTAGTGGTACCAATTTACCTACTTGCATTTGCATGCTTTGAAACTGCTAGGTTGGCAGAAGCTGAGGTGAATGTTGGAAGCTCACTCTGTTACACAGTGTTAGGCTCAAACTGCTGGAGCGCAGAGAGTCTGGAAAGAACGTGTACAGTAGTTAAAAGATGTTATTTCCAATTTCAATGCAGGAGGTACAACTATCAATTCAGCTAAATGTCACCTGAGGTTTTCTAAACTGCATTACTTAAGTTACATAGCTGACCAGCAAAATGTTAAGCTACAAGAAAAGAATCTGCAGGCTATTCAGCAGATGCAGTCTCCAAGAACAAATCAAGATCATTCCTGGGATATTTGAGATATTATGGATAGCTCTTTTTTTTTCACCAACACAAAAGCCTCATAGACACCTGAGTTTGAAAAAATAACTTTTCAAGAGTTAAAAACTGTTTTATATCCTCTTTTAAAATGGCTAGCATCTGATATGACCAGAGGAGTTATGTTAATACAAAAAATTAATGATGGTAGGCATCCAATCTTATATTTTTCTAGAAAGCGTTTATCAATGAAAAGGATATTGTAAGCCCTATGGGATGGGTCAGACTAAGAGACCAATCCCATTAGGTCTAAATATGTTTTCATTTGAAAAAACAATCTTGACAGAACACAATTCCCTCACTTTATCTTCATATGAATTCAAGTCGGTTTTGTCTGAAGCATTTTCTCAAATTATACAGAAACCTATGCTCTGAAGTGAGTAATGGAAGCTTTATAGTTTACTTGTAGGATGTGAATTCAATACAATGACAGACAACCAATAGTTTAATTATGAAAAAAATGAAATCTCCTAACAAAATTCTTGCACATTGTTGTTTGATCTCTCAACCACTAAATATGTCATGCAGCAACAGGCGGAAAGCCAGCACCAAGCTACTCCCTCTCTATCTTCATATGAAATTGACCCAGAGATAGCCATCTGTAGGCTGTGTATCACTGACACCTGTGAAAGTCCCATGTTCCACCATAGCATCTCACTGACTCTTCACCTATTCTTACCCAAACAGAATGGTTTGTTTTCACTTTGCTGATACAGAGATTACAGTAGAAGTTAGCTTTGTCTCTCTTGGGAAAACATTCATAGATGGTGGGCTATACCAGTAAAAGATGCCATGCTGACATTAGAGGTGGGATGAAACCCAGCTAGGGAACAGAAGAAAGCTGGAAATGGAAATAATGGCTGGTAGCTCAAATGGTTGAAATGGTTGGGTTGCTGGTTTTAGTAAAACCCAATACGGCCTGGTAAACCTGGACTGGACTAGTTCTCAGGCAACTAAAAAGAATGCTGAAAAGAATTGTTTGGACATCATCTGAAGAATCACACTGCAGAAGAAGAGATGCTGTGCCGAAAGTTTCTGGTGGAGTAGAAGGTGGCAGAAGAGAAGATGATCAAGGGTTTACCTACCATAAGGAAAAGAAGCCACGAGATAACAAGTTGTTAATCTGATTGGTGGCGGATGCTGTGAATATAACTTTAAGCCCTTTCCTAACTCTAGTTTTATACACTTTAGCATTTAGAAATATATACATGTGCAAGGTGCATACATACATATCTTACGTTCATAATATAACCTGCTACATGATTTGTGTTTAAAATGTCTCTGAGCTAGAAGTTAGAGTTCAGAAGGAGAAATGCTCATTTAATACAAACTGCAACAGTCAGTTGAAGGATAGAATTGTTCACAAAGAACGCAAAGCAATTAGTGAAACTGTGTGACTGTTCTAACAATGTTTGGCTGAATTGCTTTCCACCATCTTTTACATGAATAATAAAGGGGAAAAATACTGGAAAATGGTGCCTCTTTCAATCATTTGCCTAGGCATTTCAAATAGGAAAACAATCATCCTTTATTTCTATGTTTTAAAGTTAAACCAAAGGAAAGTTAGAAGGGGACTCTATTACTTATTTATAATTTATTTATAAAATTTATTTGCCACCCATCTCATATCCAATTACTCTTCTATAGTTTTCATAAGAGAAATTGATGACTAATATTCCAAAGGATAAAGATAAGCAAGAATCCACAATAGAACATTCTTCAGACAGCTGGTATCTTCTCTGGCAGAACAATCCTTTGAAGTGAGCTAGTCCCACATTACAGTCATTTTGAGGTTGATCTGGAAGCCCCCGGCAACCATTTTGTGAGAATGCCCACAAAACATGTTCTAAATACCGAACATGCTCTCCAGCCTCTGCAAGAAGATGAAGAGGTTTGGGAATAATATTGTGAATCATAAATAAAAAAAATAACATCCATCAAGTTATTGATGGATCTTCATTTCTTTGAAGCAAAAAACAATCTATTACCCATCGTGAAAATGAATATTGGGGAATTTTCCTCTAACTATGATGTTGCTTTCACAAATGGTGAAAAGTCTGTTAAATGAGACAAGATGTTAATGTTTTATGGGATGCTACATTTCGAAGTGTCTTTCTAAGCTCATTTATTATTCAGCTGTTAACTGACAAATAAGAACAACCACATGAAAGCTGCCTTCTGATGCAAAAAGGACCATTTGTGATGTAACTTAGTGTGCTCTATGTTTGGTATGAGACATTTTCTCTTTTTTGTGTGTGTCTCTCCTTCTCATATCAGGTAATTCAGCAGATAATTTCCTTTTAGCTGTACAACTGTAACTAGAAGTGGGCATATCGACATAGAATGATAAAAGCTATTCTTACATTCTAACAGGGATAGATTTTGCATGTCAAAAAATACGAGA